ATCACCCGTGTAGATCACTCTATCACATGAGCTGTTGCATTAAATACAAACAGTGCTGTTGATCTTTTTTCCCGTAACCTTTGGGTCTGTTTTGTTCATTGTTATAAACTCTCATTATGAGTTGTGTGCCAATTTCCATTCTTCTTTTATTTACTGTGTGGTTCATTTGTAAGTTAAACACTCATTTTCTCTTACTCTGAAAAATAAGCTCTGTTATAAAAAGCATCATATTATAGCTGCACTAAAGACATGAAGCTGTCAGAATGCATGCATTGTTAGCTTCAAAACGTCAAACTCTTTTGAGGTCAATTGTGAATTTTTCTTGTGTGCTTCATGTAAAGAATGACATTTGTATGGCTTGCAAACTTGCTCTTTATGTGGGGTACAAGTAATCACTTATGAGCAAACCCACATGGAATCTGCACCTGCAGAACTCCACAGGAAGACAGAATTCAAATAGCCAGCTTATTAGAACAGAGCTTTTGTCTCATGTATCACCATATATCCATTCCAGTGTAATCGTATATGTATTCATTTCCTCACAGGCAATAGTGGACACAGGAAAGACCATGAGAGCCCTTCTACAGCACGTGGAGACTTTCCAGCCCAAAATGGTTAAAGCTGCAGGGTGAGATCAGAGGGGGAATTACTTTAAAACACTGTAAGAGGATGCACAGCCTGAGAACAAATCTAGAGAGGCAGATTGTGACATTTTCATCATTCTGAATGAGATCTAATGGAGGTTAAGGGTTTCGTTAATGATGTTAATGTGTCCCTGTGTCTCCTCACTCAGGCTGCTGGTGAAGAGGGTTCCTCACGGGACGGCGGAGCTCCCAGACTGTGAGTGATCAAGGGTGCTCAAACACTACTTCTGGCCTGCAGAAATGGGCCGTAATGAATCACAATATCACACAGGGGATAGAGAGATTATCTGAACATGACTGCGATTAGTGTGATCTGGTTATTTATGTTTCTCTGCAGATGTTGGATTTGTCATTCCTAATCGTTTTGTGGTGGGTTACGCTCTGGACTACAACGAGTACTTCAGAGACCTCAATGTAAGTTCATGTCTATTTTTTTTAATTCTATGACATTTTAGAAATAAAATGATGAGAAACTTTGATTTTGAAACCCCACAAAAAGTACCATAGAGAGTACAGTTGTTGTTTTTTGGACTTGGTATCATGGTAGTACCTAGTTTTTTGATCCAGAACTCTGTTTGTAACATTGCAGGAAGGAGTTAGCTGAAATGAAGATTTATATACAGCAGTATTTTATTTAAATCAAGAAGATAATTCAAGATGAAAACAGCAACCAAACAGCTTTACAAAACTAAGACAATTACCAGAAAACTGAAGAGAAACACAAGGCTAGATATTTTCAGAGGTAAATGAGGAACTAAACAAGACACAGGTGAACATAATCAGAAACCATGAAAACATAATAGTAACTATGGAAGCAAACTCAAACACAGGAAGAAAACAGAAACAATGGAACATAAATATCTTTCAAAATAAAAGTCTCAAGACCCATTTTTACCAAGGACAATAGCTTTAACAACAATGAAAACTATAAAGTTTTAATTATTGTTCCAATTCTATGAGGATAGGGAAGTCCACATCACAGCTATAACGATATCGACACAGGAATGATATCAATTGAATCATTTTCAAAATGATTTTTTTTCCATCTGATGAATGATAAAAACATGGACAGCAATCAGAATCCACACAACTTTAAAACGCTTTAGAACTTAAAGCAGCAGTGCACGCTTATATTAAACAGAACAATATTGTGCGTTGGTGTGGATGCTAATATAATTATTGTTATATTTATCATTATAATTATTCTTGGTGTGGACAGACCTTTAAACAGGTACAGTATAACATGACACTTATTTCTGGAGCCACAGGAAAATGCAACTCACTCCCTTAGCAATTCGTAACTATTTTACAGTTTGGCAAATTGATGGCTAATTTGTATGAATGAGTGTAATTTATTTCATACTTTTTTGTATCATCAGCTTAAGCCCCACGTTAAGGCATGGAACTTGATGCTTACTTTTTTTTGTACAAAGGCAGTGGCAACAGATGCTATTTACACTAAGTGAAAATAGCATATTTTCTAAGTGATGGATGCTGTTTACACTAAGTGCAAATAGCGATAGACTCTTTTTACACTATTTAAAAATAGTAGCATTTTCTTTGCAATAATATTAGTTAGATGCTATTTATACTACTTAGTGCAACTGGCAGATATTTGCACCTCAGTATTGTAGTACATTATAAAACAGTATGCAATAAAAATATATTGAGTGTAAATAATTTTTATTAAAATTATTACATTTTTATTGTCTCTTCTTGGGACAATAAAGCCATCCCTACACCTGCCCCGTAGCCCTAACCGATAAACACCCATGAGGCACTTTGTTTTCTTCGTTAATTTTATTGAAAATAAATGCCTTTCCAGTCTGATATGTGATGTGAAAAGGGAGGAGGAGGAGTTCGGCAAAAGGCAGATTTGAACTCAGGTTGATCGCGTCAAAAAGTCACTGCTACGTGATTTACCACCTACCACTGTAACTGTTATTCAGCAGGCCTTTTTTGTAATGTTGTAGAGCCCAACCACAAGTTGGTGGGCGGAGTTAGTGTAAATAGCCTCTGCCAACAAGGTAAATAGTGTAAATAGACACTCCTTTAAAGGGGTCATATGATGCTTTTTTAAAGATCATTATTTTGCAGAGTCTTAACTTTGATAAAGAATATCTCTTTGGTTTTGAGACTTTAGTCTTTGCAACTTCAGGGATCTTATCTATGCACAATCAGCTTGTAACACTCCAAAGAGAAAGAAAAACTTGAAATCGCATCATATGACCCCTTTAAATCATTTCAATATGATCAGATTGTATGAATTTGTGCAATATCGCCTCCTCGTAAAAATAGGTTCATATGGTGTAGTTATTTACCAGCAGGGCCAAACTTTTACCCCTTGGAATAGCCCAACTTAACAACATTGACTTAATTTGTTTCAAATACATCAAAACACAACACAACCAAAAACCTGAAATTATAGCCAGAAAAAAAAGGAAAAGGTTTAAAGCTGCACAAAAAGGCCTACCCACATCAAAGCTTGTCATACAACATTATATAAGACATGATCTTCACAGTCATCTAAACCTGTAGCTTGAATGTCAGCGCTGAGTGTTGAGCGGGACTTGGTGAACATCTAAATGAAATCTGGCATGCAGCACAGCATTCATCTTTCCTAGAAAACTCTAATCAGCCTCCCACATTACGTGTACAAGCCCCTCCTGCAGTTGTAAATGTGATGGAAAACATTTTTCTGTCACACTGCAGACAAGCAGAAGCAAACGCTTTGCTGCGTTATTTCTACAGTTTTATTTTCTGCTTTATTTATTGCTCGACTCACGTAAGCGATTTCTTCCCCTTCACAGCACATCTGCGTCATCAGTGAGATGGGGAAACAGAAATATAAAGTGTGACAAAACACCTCTTTCAAGAGGAATGGACATTTATATTACCATAACAGATGAAAAACTCGTTTTGACAAGACTCCTGTGCTCTCAAATCAGAGATAAATCTGATCTCTCAAATCTGATATCTGTAACTGACATGCTGCATTATGTTTGAAATACTATATAATATATTCTGCATGAATTGGGTAAAGTCACATCACAGTACTAACGTGATATGATGTGGAAAACAGACTTAATGTGTGCCATTTTATATGCTGTATAAGAGCCCAGCTGTTCATGTTTGTCCTATTTAGAAGATATTTGTTTGACAGACCATACATTCCACAGAAGACATCTTATACTTTTCAAGCATACAAAATGCTTGCTGGTTTGGTGATGACAACACTTCTTTCTTTTCATTGTTTTTAAAAGTGTAATGATATTGCAATAGTTCCTTGTCAATAAAATGTCAGTGATTTCTTGATGTCTTTGTAACAGACATCAGGGTGTAGCAGATATATTCCATCTGTTGAGGAGACATTACAGATTAATAGCATAAACAAGTTGTATATCCTTCCAACAATTTCTTGGATACTGAAGTCTATCCCACCATCTCAGGCTTTAAAAAACATGTTTATATATATATATATATATCTCATACAAAATGCATGTTATTGTATTTTTTGTACTGTAGTACTGATATTTCACATAAAAGATGTTTACATGTAGTCCACAAGAGACAATAATAGTTGAATTTATAAAAATTACCCCGTTCAAAAGTTTACATCCCCTTGATTCCCCTTACCTGAATGAATCGCAGCTGGGGTTTTTTTAGTGATCGCTGTTCATAAGTCCCTTGTTTGTCCTGAACAGTTAAACTGCCTGCTGTTCTTCAGAAAAATCCTTCAGGTCCCACAAATTATTTGGTTTTGCAGCATTTTTGTGTATTTGAACCCTGTCCAACAATGCCTATGATTTTGAGATCCATCTTTTCACACTGAGGGACTCATATGCAACTATTACAGAAGGTTCAAATGCTCCAGAAGGGAAAGCGATGCATTAAGAGCTGGGGGGGTGAAAACTTTTGAACAGAATGGAGAGGTGTACATTTTTCTTATTTCGCCAAAATACCATATTTTTTTCATTTAGTACTGCCCTTCAGAGGCTACAGAAGATTTAACTCACAACTTACAGAATTTTAAGGATCTGCTGCTTATGGTGCTAGAAACAGGACAAGTTCAGAGGTCTTGTGGAGTCCATGCCTTGACACATCAGAGCTGTTTTGGAAGCACGAAATGAACTTACGCAATATTAGTGGTTTTAATGTTGTAGCTGTTCGGTGGATAAAATTGATAAAACCTGATCTTTGCAATAAAAATAAACAGGTAATGTTATTAAAGAATATTAATAAAGAAAACAATGCATTGTTTTCTTTGAGTACTGTCTTCTACAAAGAACACAAAAATAATGTATTTTTTTATGTTCAAAACAATATGACAACAAACAAACAAATAAATACACGCCTTCAGCTTTTTTGTTTGGTTCCAGAAAGATGTATTTGCACACTACAAACTAGCGCTAAATAAAGAACATCTGAAAAGCCCTAAATAAATCAATTTCTATTGAAACTTTGGATGGTGCCGTTTTCCCCAGTGTTTTGCCTGGGGTTTGACCTCTTTGTCAGTGTACAACCAGACAAAACCAACATCAGGGTTTGATTTACTTTACAACCTGCTGTGGTTATCTCACATCTCAGACAAGCAATGAATTCACTGGAAATTTACTGCGCTAATACAGAACTCAAAGCTGATGTTCCCTGAGAATCCTGAAAAATCTCGTTTCTGCTCATCTGCTTTGGATCTGCTGTCCTACAGGCAATCCGCTTGAAAAGTCTGGCTCTTGAATTCAATAAGTAAGCAAAACGGACGCTAACACCTTCAAGGACATTAGATAACACAACCCAAGGTGACCTTACAATGATTCTTCTTATATGTGACATATGAAACTATATGGTCTAATCCACTGTCAAAAAATTATTTTTTGAGTCTGGTTATGATATTGTCCTACATGGTTGGTTTAAAGTGTCGAGTGAGAGCTGTTTGTGCCTCACACCGAGCTTTCCATGACTCAGTCTGGGCGCCAGCCGGGTACAAATGCCAACAGCCACCATCTGCCATCAGTTACTGCACCTCATGACTGGAGAATGCAGTGCTGCACTGGAGACACAAAACGTTTTATTTCATTAGATCAGAGAATTAGATTAGTCAGTGGGTCATAATGCATGAAGTGCGTTATTATTTGTCTTACAAAAGACGGTGAGGCTTATTTGTGTTTAAAGATCCCATTAAATGGTCTGTCGAAAGCAATTTTCTGTTGTGTATTTACAGTCCCTTTGCAGGCCTGTGTGATTCTATCTATCTATCTATCTATCTATCTATCTATCTATCGTTTCCTCACAACTGTGTACATATTGCACATACATAGTACATATATGATCCAGGATCAACAAAAGATGTTGATCCAGGAACATGTCTTACTTGGCAAAATCACGGCGACCATATATTCTAATGTGTGTGTGTGTGTGTGTAAAACACAGTACCATATTTTATCCCATGAACATCTATATAAAAAGTGCATTATTGAATATAAAATGACATGCATATACAAGTAAATATATTACTCGCATATTTTTCAAGATCTAAAAAGCATCAATTCCCCATGTATTACTCAATATATTGTAATATATTATTAACACAATATATAATTCTGTATATTTAGAAATAATTAAATAAATTGATCATTAATACATAAGGAATGCATTTTCTTTTTCTAGTTATATTTTCCATTTTCTATATGAGCTGAAAGCTAAGTCAGTAGGAAAACATGGAAAAGCAGGCCAGAGAAAATGCTGTATGAGTTCGCTCACAGACACAGCAAGCTGGGACTGGTTTGTAATTTGCAAAAGGTTTAACATGCAGTTTTGTACAGCTACAAAAAGTAGAAGGAAAAGACAGTCAAATCTCAAATTCACAATGTACAATGTATCATGTTGCTTTTCTATACAGTACAACGTTACAGGCATCAGTATAGGTGTTATGGGCTAAATGCCCCTCATGTAAGTGAAGGACTAACCGAGCTCTCTTAGTTCCAGCTCGAGTATCTGATGTATAGCTACAGATTACAGAGGAGGGAAATCCACCTCTTGTCCCCCTGAATTAAAAGGCATTTTGGGTATATGTGACAGAACTGACAAAGTCACTCTTTGTTGGCTTGGCTGTGACTCGCTTGCTCTTATCCAACATCAGCACTTAGGAACGGTTAACTTACCTAGCTGATAAACGCTCTACACCTCTGTGGGAACCTGGCGGCCTCTCTCCCAGCAGTCTAAAACAAGATCCGCTGAATGACAGACAAAGAGATGGGCGAGTTTCTCATGCTGGGTCTCTGAGGTACAACATCACCAGAGGAGCATGGTAAGAAAAAGACTACGTACAAAAGACACAATAATGAAACACTGCACCTTCACATGTATGCCATGGGACAGAGGATACAATTTCACTTCTCAATAGGTGCCAATGGCCTGGATTTGTGGGTTGAACTAAATGATTTGTGTTGAGGCTATATTTCATAAACTTACATTCTAACTTTCTGTGAAAGGCAGTAATTGGGGGAATAAACAGTTATTGATGAATACATATCACAGTTTTGTCATTTGAACTATAAAATTAATTTAACTACTGAAATGTCAACTACTGAGTCTTTAAAGGGATAGATCGCCCAAAAATGAAAATTGTCATTAATCATTCTCCCTCATGTCATTCCAAACCCGTAAGACCTTCGTTCATCAATAGTTAAATAAGTTATTTTAGTTTTTTGCACACAAAAACTATTCTTGTAGCTTCATAAAAGTACGGTTGAACCACTAATGTCACATGCACTATTTTGTCTTTATTCTTGGTACCTTGAACGTGGTAGGATTCTTGTCGCTTATGGTGGGTCAGAAAGCTCTTGGATTTCATCAAAAACATCTTAATTTGTGTTCCAAAGCTGAACGAAGGTCTTACGGGTTTGGAATGATGTGAGGGTGAGTAATTTGAGTAAGTAATGACAGAATTTCCATTTTTGGGTGAACTATCCCTTTAAGCAAAACAGCCTCTCAGTGAACTAAAAGAAAGGAATCGTTTCACCATTCACCATTTAGTTTGAATCATAATCTGACTCATTATATACAAGTGTATCCGGAAAGCATTCACTTCCTTCTCCAGATCTGTGGCTCGATACAATCCGGTCTCGGCGGTCTAGACAATTCCTTGGACTTCATGGCTTGGATTGGATTGTGTTCTGACATGCATTGTTGACTGTGGGGCCTTACATAGACAGGTGTGTGCATTTACAAATCATGTCCAATCAACTGAATTTACCACAGGTGGACTCCAATCTAGTTGTAGAAACATCTCAATGATGATCAGTGGAAACAGGATGCACCTGAGCTCAATTTTGAGTGTCATGGCAAAGGCTGTGAATACATGTGATTTTTTTCCCCCAAAGATTTCAAACAAACTTGTTTCACATTGTCATTATGGGTTATTGTTTGTAGAATTTTGAGGAAAAATATGAATTTCATCTATTTTGGAATAAGGCTGTAACATAACAAAATGTGTGTATATATACAGCGGGTAAAATAAGTATTGAACACGTCACCATTTTTCTGAGTAAATATATTTCTAGGTGCTGTTGACTTGAAATTTTCACCAGATGTCGGTAACAACCCAAGTAATCCATGATAGATGTCCACATATTTCTTAGTCCTCTCATTAAAAATATCTCTTTTAATTGTTCTCACCATTAAATGTATACTGAAAGAAATGGCTAGATTGCAAGAAAAACTGGCAAGTAACACGCTGAATTAAACGTGAAGGAAGACTCTCCTTGTAAGACATACTCCAATAATTTGGAGTAATCCAATAAATTGTTTTATTTACAACTTCTAAAAACCTTTTATTCATTTTTTTTTACACTGTATACATATGCTGCCGTTAAACTTAAAATAATCTTGTTTTAAGCATGAATTGTGAATGATTTCTGTTTGTAGAAGATGCATATGAACATCCAACATCAATCAATTTTACTCATAAACCTGTGGAAACACCAGGATTTAAATGTTAATTCTGTTATTATAAGTAGTGGACCATTACTACTGCAGCTAATCTAATTACTGCCGGTCAAGCGTGGAGAGCAACAGATGAAAACTTTTATTATTCAGCGTCTCCCTGACATGGCTGCATCAACACTACTGCTGTTCCTGAAACCACGCGATCTTTCTTTGCGTGCACATTATGCTAATATTTCCACATAGTGACGTAGACATGTGGGGGCGTGTTAGAATGAGCCGTTTTAGGTAGGCGTGGCTGACTCTTAACTTTTATAAAGAATATCTCTTTGGATTTGAGACTTTAGTCTTTGCAACTTTACAGATCTTCTTTATGCACCAAGAGCTTGTAACACTCCAAAGAGAAAGGAAAACTTGAAATCGCATCATATGACCCCTTTAATATAATAGTAATAGTATTGTTGCTGTTGTTGTTGTATCAACTAGGATATCTAACCAAATGCTAGTAAACCTTATATTGTCTTGGTCAATAGTGCACCAGGCCTTCAAAACAATAGGAGAAAAGCTGCTCTTTGAGATTCAGCAGCCTTTTATTTCAGAATGGGTCACAAGAGTTGTCCTATTGTTCCTGATGCATTGTGGTGGAAAGAGGCGAACAAAACACTGCCCTCCATTGCCTTTGTCCTAAAGCTCCACGCTGCATCCATGCTCTATGCCACTATAATGGAGTTTGAGACTGGAAATATTCTTTAAACCCAAAAAGATTACATTGGGATGTTAGAAATATTGTTGTAGTATCGTGAGCTGCCATTTTCTCTGAACAGATGCATGTCCAGCTGGTTATGGCAAATGAGTATGATTTATTTTGGAAGGAAGTGTGTACACTATGAGCATAAAAAGCTTAGAATATTACTAAAACGGCATAATAGTTTAATTGCAGGTAAATTCAGCTATTATAATGTCAGGTTTTCAAGTGTGCTCAACTTGTGACTTGTGAAAACATTCTAGCCAGTGATACTACCGCCACTGCTTTGAAGAACTGGATTTGTTTAATCATGATTACATAAAATACTGCCAAGAACTAGCATTTGGAATAAACTCTTGGAAGAGGATCTGATTATTTTAATTAAACCCAACAGAAAAAAAAAAAAAAAAAAAGATAATTTGACTGATCGGAAATGTCAATTACTTCCACAAAAAGTTTTCAAGAGAACAAAATGTTTACAGCATGATCTTGATAATATCACTAAAACATTTACTGCTGGCAGTAGAACATCAACACAATTCAAAATCAGGCTTTAAAACAGGTTTCTGAGCCACTAGTGAATTACACAAGCACTCACAATCCGCATTAATAAATAGTGACTGTAAGTAATTGAGCAGAGAATACATAGGCATGTGCCTCTTATGTAAGAAGAAATCCTGTTGGTAGAAGTCGACAAGCGTATTTGAATATCGCATCCTATTGGACAACAGGCCGGCGGGCAGTCAGAGGGGGAGGGGCTTCGGAGGGACTGAACGCCAGTCAATGTAGCAAATGTATTTACCTTTGGGAAATCCGAGTCTTTAAGCGAGTCGGTTCGTTTGAACGATTCGTGAGCTGATTCAAAGGAACCGACTCACCAATTTACCAATGTCTTTGAGAGACTTTTTTTTTTTTATTGCTTCTGTTTTAAGTAGGCTTTTAGTTAGGTAATACTAGTGATTATCACTATGCTATATACAGTGTTGGGCTAGTTACTCAACGAATGTAATATATTATTCATTACTAGTTACTCATTTCAAAAGTAATATTGTTACTTTACTTATTACTTTCTGGCAACAGTAATTAGTTACACTACTAGTTACATTACTTTTTCTTCACGCCCCACAGAAGTTGTAACTGTGTATCTTCCACATAAAATTCTAGTGATTGATAGTAACATTCAAGTAGATGTTTTGTATTAATCTCATTAATTGTCATGTGTAGCTTGAAGCTAATTGTAATGTTTGCGCTACCCATATACGATTATATTTCATTATGTATTTTATCAAATCGCGTTTGTAAGAAACTTTAATTTTCCCAAAATATTTTTAATTATAGTAATATAATGTACCAGATGCTGATCAGAGGGATGTGGGTGGGATGTAATGCCAGAGTAAAGTAAAGCCACAACTTACACAACAGTGCTCAGATCATCTTTTTTCCTGACAAAATCAATATAATGCAATATTTCTATCTGCTGAATGTAAGCTTTTCCATATTCCAAGTTTATCTGCTGCACTGGGGACATCACAGGCATGTGCGAGTCATGAAAATTATGAAAATAAATCTAGGAATTGTTTGATTGTTGGATTTTAAATTAGCGGGGTTGAGGCATCAAAAGTAACTAAGCTTTTTTATGTATGGCAACTGTAATATTATTACTGAAATCTTATTAGTAATTAGTTACACTACTAGTTACTGCAAAAAGTAATATTATTACAGTAACTAAGTTACTAGCTACTGCCCAACACTGGCTATATACAAGGTTAAGGTTGTGTCAAGTACTGTGTTGTTCATTTCAACCCCTGGACAATTTACTTTGGAAATTATAGTTTTCATTAATTGTTACATTCATTGTTAGGCTACTGCTGTAAAATCACAATATGACATCCTCAAACAGGATGTTTATTTATTTATTTATTATTATTATTGTTTTTTTTTTTTTGTGCGTGTGGTGGTGTGGCTGAAACCAATTACAGTTTTGTTGTAGTAACCCAACTGTGAGTATTTTGCCGGAGGCTATGGTTACCATGGTAAAGTTTTGTAAGAGCCACCTATCTTCAGTTTCCTTCCAAGATTCTACAGTGAAGTGAATCGTGAAGTTATTTCTGAACGCTTTAAAAATCGGTTCAAAAGAATCAAAAGAAAGAACCGATTCAAAAGAACGACTCGTTCGCGAATCGGACATCACTGGTATCTGTCGCGCCGCCAACTGGAAGTAACCGAGATCAAACTGTTCGCCTACAAATCGTTGATACATACGTGCGCTGCGTTCTAAACGCTAGTCATTCTTCGCGTCCGTATGAGCTAGATTCTGTGACTTCTGTGGGTTTTTCTTTCACTATGAAGCTACTCATTTGGCTATGGAATACTGTAAATAATCTCTGGTCGATAGATTGAAAGATATTTGTATATTAATCGCGTGTTTGGCAGAGAAACGATGCATTATGATTCATGGTCATCTAATAACTGGAACAGGTAGGTGTTTTACTGAGCCTCTCTGTCATACTATTGTTAGATATTGTTGCCATGTCAGAAATAAAGGAAACGTACAGTTTGATGAGCGGAGGACATTTCTAATCGAGATGATGGTTTTATGATTGTTTACCACCCACAGTAATAAACAATGCTAGTAAACACTCCTTGTTATTAAACATCCTGAATGTATTCAAAGGGCAGATTTTCAGCTCATGACAGCGCATGATGTTAAATCGGGACTAGTTCTCTACTGATTTAGAAATGCCTCTTAAATACCACAGATCGCGCCATAGAAACACATGGTGTGCAGAGAACTGGACTCGAAATGAAAAATGGTAGGCATGTCAGATGACAAGCTTGCGTCGGTACACTGAGGCGTTCTAAGCAGATCAAATAATAATTCTGCTTAATTATCTCAATATTATTGCCTGAATACCCGAATATTGCGTATGTTTACTAACCTAAGTTTTGTTTTCTATTCTGCTGTTTTACTACGCTGTATAGTTTACCATTCTATACTGTACATTTTCATACTTTGTTGTACTATTTTACTCTATAGTTTACCCTATTCTATACTCCAGTCTATATTTATCTTTATTTTACCTATTAGTAAACATGGGAAAAGCTTTGAAGACTGTGTTTGCTAAGGGAATAAAAGTAAACACATTCATACTCTGTTCTATCGTGCTCTACTCTAAATTAATTGTTATGCCATTTTGCAAACTTATTCTGAATAATAATAATAATAATAATAAAAAAGTGTTGAACTCTGTTCTACAGCTCCATACTCTATAGATATTTTAGGCAATATAGAAATCCTGGCCAGGACGCGTCCTGGGAAAATGGCACGTATGGTCACCCTAACTAATGGGCATTTTGGGACGCCTGTTGGTAACTATTGACTGGGGTAGATCTCCTGTCTTAACAGGGGACAGTGTCACTTATCTTTATTTCTGTCCTACATTGTGTCCTCTTCAGTAACCTTTCTTTGGTCGCAGGATCTTACAGTGGACGGGCATGAAGAGATCGGATGGTGTGGATTAGATTATTGGGAATATATCGCTTTGATTTCTCTCATCTCAATGTTGGGCTCCAGAGGACCTCTGCCTTTGTGCT